TATAAAAAGATAATGGGCAAAATATTGGTTTATTTTATCCTGAGGAGAGTGGCAGATCTCTGCAGTGCTGAATTATTGGGTGTGAAAAAGGCCTTAAACCAAATGGTTGGAAATATCTTGTTTGTTTTTTGGAGTTCCGGATAAATACGTGTATGCTGAACTATATGGCAAGAGACTTATTGGATTGGGGCACGCAGAAGATCTGGTTGTTACCCTATTATGATGGTTGGAACCAATTATCTGGATCAAAGACACCTCCATAAACATTATATGGAATATAATTATAAAGTCACTCGGGTGGTTGTCGGGGTTTTTTCTTTTCCAATATGAAGATATTTGTTGCTGATGGGGGCAGATGGTAACTGAAGATATCGAAAATACTGTTGGAATAAGGATGCGATGTTACCCTAACATGGGTGGAGTTCATCATCCAGTTGAAAGATATTCCAGAAGATGCTATATGGATCATAAGTTTAAAGTTTTTTTTTTTTTTTTAGGATCTTATTTACATAAGGGAATATTTTTCTAGGGGATTGGGTAGAAGAATAAAGATATTAAGAATAATTATGGTAATTCTGTAGGAAAGTGGGTGGAGAAAGGTTAGGTTATGGATTGTCTATTTTAAAGAAATGTTTAGATGTGAATATTTGTAATGAAGGGGGGAAACGAAATGGCTACTGGAACTGAATAAGTGTTAAATTAGGACTTTTTGATTACTTAGAATAGAAGTATGTTTTGAAATGTTATATTGTCTGAGGGGTAGTAAAAGGGTAGACTACGAGTAGAATTTGCTAAATTGGGAGATATAATAATATTATTATTTTAAATCAGGAGTTATTAGATAATGTTATAATAGAATGTCACTTTGAAATGCTTATTATAGCATAGTATACGGGGGGTATGATAATCTTATTAAAATGAGAGGGTCAGTATATGGAGATTGAGTATGTGGATAGTAAAGTATGATATAATCTGTTATGAACTTGGGTTTTACTATGAGGAAGTCAAGGGGAGGGGGGGGGGAGGGGAGGGGAAGGGGGAAAAAGGGGGTGTTTCTGTATTTGAAAAACTTTTTCAATAAAAAAAAAAAAGAAACAGGCATGGTGGCGGCAGCAATTGCATCGGCAACAAGCAGAGGAGTAGGGGCGGGTGAGGCACATGATGTGGATCACGCACCTAATCCATCCCATGTGTCTGGGACAGGGTACATGGTTGCCCAACAAATCCAGCCCATGGGATCGCATTCCTCTCCCCTCTGCCTCTGCCTTCGGCTACTGTTCCCACTGTAGGCAAAGACAAGGTGAGGAGGGTGTGGGGCAGCTGTTGCCTACTCCCTCCCATCTCTTTTGGCTTGCGGTTGGAGATCAGGTCACCGCTGGTCATCTCCTTGGCCACCTCGCGGGTCTTGCCCTTGGCCTGCACATGAAGCATGTTCCCCTCATGTACCCGACTGCAGTGGTGGTTGCACGAGAGGGACGCTTTGCCAGCAGGCCCTGCAGCATTTGCGGTATTTCTCCATCTGCTACCAGACCCAACACATGGCACCCCTCCAGGCTTCCCTGAAGCATCACGGGGGCAGGGTAGGAAACGGCGCCCACCCCAAGGCTGGAGGTAGAGGGCCTTTGAGCCCCAGGCACCGGTTTGGGTATTACCCTGCCAACTCACCCGCTCACGGAGAAGGAAGCCTGGCTAGTCACGAGCCGCGCCTTCCGGGAATTTGGCTGCAACCCTCCCTCTCTAGTGGTGGAGACGGCTGTCCTCCTTCAGGAGTAGGCAGCCGAGTGGGAGAACGACAGGTAGCCAAGTGACTGTGGGGGGGAAGAAGGCAGCAACTCTTGCAGCACTAATTCCCTAGCTCGCTCGCGTCTCGCCAGCCCCACTTTGCCAACAAGCACACAAGTTTGGAACGGAGATGCAGCGGGAGGGGGGCTCCAAGGCAGAAGGCTGCCTTCAGTCCAAGGAAGGAACTGCAGGAGGAGCTGTGTCACTTGGGCAGCGCCCCGAAAGTGCTATGGAGCTCATGCAGGTATATTAGACCAGTGCCATCGCCGAGGCAAAGTGGCCAGCTAGAAAGGTTGATTAGAACGGGTAAAGACATGCCCATTCCCAGCAGACAAAAGGTGGCCACTGCGAGCGGGGAAAGATCAATCCTCATCGGTGCTATAGCCGCCCAAGCCCAGCCAGGATTTCATTCCTCCCCCACATCTCTGCTGGGCAGCCAGGGCTCTGATGGGGATCTGGCTTTCCCCACTCGCAGTGGCCACAGCCTAATGGATCTACGCAAGCTGCTGACCACCTAGGTGGTGCACTAGGGAAACACACCTTTGTAACTGGTCTCTTCGCCTCCTTCGGGCTGTGCGAGTCTGCCGAGTGACTGCGAAGTTGCCACCCAGGAGCTGCCAGGGGTAAAGACCCCCGATGATGTGCCTCCTTCACTGGGGCTGTTCGGCAGGGAGAGCAGAGCTCCGTCCTGTCCTGCGAGGCAGCAGCTCCACGGTGCTTTTGGAGCACTGCCCGAATTCTGTAGCTCCTTCAGATGAAGCCCAAGGCTGCAGTCCCTTCCCTGGACTGAAGGCAGCCTTCTGCCTTGCAGGGCCCCTACCCCGCCGCATCTCCGTTTTGAGCTCGTGTGCCTGCTGGCAAAGTTTGGCTGGCAAGACATGAGCAAGCTAGGGAGTGGATGCAGCAACAGCCGCTGCCTTCTCCCCTCCCGCTACTTTGCTGCCCATTCTTCTCCCGCTCGGCTTCCCACTCCTGAAGTAGGACAGCGGTCTCCGCCACTGGAGAGGGAGGCGGGAAGGACTGGCTGGCCAGCGGATCAGTGCTGCTGAGTCCCCATCTTGGAGCTTTCTCGCCACATCCACTCTAAGAGATTCCTGCCCAGTCCGATTCTGCCGGCCAGATGTGCGGAGCCCTTGGCCGAGCCTGTTGCATGCGTTCGGCATGTACGGAGGAAGCTCAGGCCAGTGAGATTCCAAAAGCAGATTGAGACTGCCACGATGCAATGGAGTGGGATTCAGCAAGCTTTCTCTTCCCCACCTCCATTTGCTTTTGTAGAAGACTTTTCTTTCCTGACAGAGAGATGAGAGAGAGAGAGAGAATGGAATGGAATGGAATAGAATGGAATTCAGCAAGGTTTCTCTTCCCCACTCCCATTTGCTCTTCTAGCATACTTTTCTTGAGAGCGAGAGGGAGGGAGGGAAGGAGGGAGGGAGGTTGTAACCTCCTTGGGGCTGAGAAGAATTGCTGCAAAACTGAGTTTTCTGAAGTGGACCACTAGACTCGTAAACAACTTAAAAAATGATCTAGTAAAAAGAAAAGTCAAACAAAAGCAAATAAAACACTCCCAGCAGAAAAACAAATTAAAGTTTAATTTGTGTGCATTATTTAATGGACTGCTAATTGGCAAAATGGACTGCTAAATTGGCCGCGCTCACACAGTCACATGATCACCAAGCCACGCTCACCCAGTCATATGGCCACCCAGCCACACCCATCTAGCCAGTCCACTCCTCCAACAGTCTGAGGGACCCAGAAGTGGCCCCCTGTTCAAAAAGTTTGAGGACCTCTGACTTAATGAGACTTCCAATGGAGCAAGCTTGCATGCAAATGGGTTGAGGCAGAGAGAGAGAGAGAGAGAGAGAGAGCAAAAGAGCAATCCAATTGTGTATGTGTGTGCATGTATGGGAGAGAGAGTAATCCATACTTCAGCCAGGGCACCCAAACTGCTGGCAATGGGGCAGGAAACACTTGAGCAGTGAGGAGGGGGGGGGGTTAGTATGAAGGAAGGCGAGGGGGTGCAGAGCTGCCCCCCACCAGCTCCTGAGCACACTGCCAGCCAGGCTCTGAAGTGTACAACTGCCGCCGCAGTGAAACAGAGAGAGAGAAGGGGGCCTCTCCAAACTTTGTGTGTGTGTGTATGAGAGAGAGAGTGCCTGCTTTAGTCGGGGCACTCAAGCTGCGTGCAAGGGGGGGGGGGAGAAGATCCAACTGAGCAGCCGTTTTTCTCCTCATCCTCCCCACTCAAACAGGACAGCAGGACTCTCATTTCTCCCCCCGCACAGCGAATTCCAACTTCAGTTGGGGCATGCAAGCTGCTGGCGGCAGCAAACAGTTAACCACCATGATTGCCCCCTCACCAACCAGCCAGCCAGCCCCAATTGATATGCTTTTTGCCGGCTGGCGCAAAGCCTCACCATTCTTCTTGTCTTTGTCATTGTCCCCCCATGGTTCTTGCACCCGGCCGATTCCGATTCCACGGCCAGCCTTACTGTTTGAAGGCTGAATGAAGCCTTCAACTGAGCGAGGAAGCACTGCAGGACCAAGCCCTTCACACTTCAACGCCACCGCCGGCACCGTTCAGCTGGAGGAGTAAAGAAGCTCAGGGCAATGGGAAAAGGGGGCTGGCCCCGCCAAACTGTGCACGTCCACCCTGGGGATCAGGCTTGGAAAAAGCCGAAGTGCCCTCTCCAAAGACGTTCTCCTGTCAGTTGTCAACCCGCCCACCCCGTGCCATCGCTGCACTTTGGATGAGCCCAGCCGCTAGCTTGAGGAGAGTATCCCCACTTATGTGTGCCCTCTGGCCCTGCAACAGCCGGCCAGGGGATCGCGTGAGAGGAGGAAGCCACCACCGCAGTTCGTGCTCGCTCCGCAGCTGCGGGCCTATCCCCTTTTCCATCATACCCTCCTCCCGGATCCCATTTCCACCTCGCCAGCCCTCGTGTTAGCGAGGTCGGCGTCGGTCACGGCCGAGTTGGGTCAATGTCTTGGGGCACAGTGATCCGTGCCTACAGAGAGGGCTCTGCGTGCCATCTCTGGCACGCATGGCATAGGTTCGCTATCACAGAAGAGATTGGTAGTCTTATTCTCTTGGCCAAATTTTTATGCCTCTATTTTGTAAAGTATTTGCATTTTCTGCTTTTTCTTCAACTATGCTCCAAGATAATCCATTTTTTTTTACTACTAATAACCATGTATGCAACAGTAAAGAATTACTGTACCTGATTCCAGGGTCACTCATACTGTGCCCATGATAACAATAACAATTATGTTTATAGCTCCATCACAATAGGGCCCAGTTAAAATGGAAGTCTTTAATAACTATGAAAATAATGCCTTGATTTTGCTAAATGTATACAGGCGTGCCAGTTTAAGACCAATTAGACCAGTAGCTCTCAACTTTTTTCATCTTACTCTGTTAAAAAAACACAGGTCTGATCAAGACAACAACAAAAATATTACAAATTTTCCCTAAGACATTTATATGTTTAAAGTATTTTGTTATATTCAATATTTAATGCTTAGACTTGAATAAAATTTCAGGAACTTATACTTGGTCCCAATAAATCTACTACCATACTATGTCCCTTTTTTGGTATGCGTAGCTGGGATTTATATAATTTGTCTGTAAGAGTCGTAAATGCAGACTACTCTTGAGAGTTGGCTAAATTTGTACTAAATTGTTGATTGTAGTTCTTATTCCTATTTTCTGAATGCTTTGAAAACTCTGAAAAATCCCTCAAACCTGATTTAATAGAGAAGGGCAGATACCTACAAGTACAGCTTGACTTATGACCATTAAGTTAACAATGGTTTGAAGCTATGTTGAAAAAAGTGACTAATGACCAGTCCTCGCACTTATGATCATCAGTGTCTCCACAGCCACAACATCAGTGTTTGGGTGCTTGGTAACCAGCATGTATTTATGACAGTTGCAGCATCCTGGGTTCATGGGATCGCCATCTGTGACTTTCCCAAAGGGAAGCTAAGTCAATGGGGAAGTCAGATTTGCTTTCTGATAGCATGATTTGCCTAAAATTGTGATGATTTGCTTAATGACTATCGCAAAAGTTCATAAAATCAGGCATGCCTCACTTAACGACCACATTACTTGGTGGCAGAAATTTCAGTCCCAATTGTGCTTTTAAGTTGAGGAATGGCTGTATTTACACTGAACAATGCTAGGTTGTTCTTGTCTCCAAATTTTACCTTCCCATCACCAATATGCATTCTTTCTCAATGTTGCAACTAGGTCCTTCTTGACGTTTAGCATAGAATATCTTGCGGGATCCAATTTGTGTCAGTCACTGGGGCCAAAGCAGGGGTGAAATGCTCCCGGTTTGGACCGGATCACCCGATCTGGTAGTGATGGCGGTGGGTGGTTCGGAGAACCGGTAGCAAAAATCCCTGCATTCCCACCACCACTACGCCCAGCTGAGCTGCACAATCATCAGAGACTTTTTTTTTTACTTTTAAAAGCATTTTTTTCTACAACCTCTTCCGATGAAAAAATGCTTTTAAAAGTAAAAAAAAAAAGCTGATCGCGCGGCTCAGCTGGGATTGTCAGAGGGTTTTCAAAGCATTTTTTTCTACAACCTCTTGGCCGAAGAGGTGGTAAAAAAAATGCTTTGAAAAGTCTCTGACGATCCCAGCTGAGTTGCCTGATCGTCAGAGAGGCTTTTCAAAGCATTTTTAAAAAGCCTCTCTGATGATCCCAGCTGAGTTGCCTGATTGGCAGAGGCTTTTCAAAGCATTAGAAAAATGCTTTGAAAAGTTAAAAAAAAAAAAGTTGGCCACACCCACCCAGTCACATTACCACCACCACCACCACCAAGCCATGCCCACAGAACCAGTAGTAACAAATTTTACATTTCACCCCTGGGCCAAAGGTTTATTCTTCCAAGTTTTCAGGCTTGTGCTGGAGCCCATCCTCAGGGAACCAGAATATTGCACTCACTTCTGGAGAGAGAAAAGTTCCCTGAGGATGGGCTCCAGCATGAACCCGACAGTTCAGAAGAGTAACCTTTAGTCTAGTGACCAACTTAGATTGGATCCTGAAACATTATCCTGGGATACATATATTTACCTTCATTTGCCATGGAATATTCCTTCATTTCACCTATGACAGGTGCACACACCCTTCGTGCTGATGTTTATTGGATAATCATAACTTTAATTTTTTTAAAAATAATTTTTATTGAGTTTTTAAGTTTTAAAAACAAAATAAAGAAAAATACAACAAAAAACAAAAATACATTAAAAACACATAACAAACATAACATTACATCATATATTATTTTACAGCTTACTGTATCGACATGGATACGTATTTTCTATTCTTATTCAATCTTTCATCTACGTACTTATATTTACATTAGTATCTATTTACAAAACCATCATTATCTGGTTGACACTGTTCAGCAATTTACACTTCCTAGTTTTAACCTGGTTAAATTAACATTCCGAATTGTTATTTTGATTTCTTTTTTCTAACCAATCATATAGTTTATTCCACACTCTATAATATTCCGGCTCTTCCCTCTCCTTAATTTCCAGCGTCATTTTATCCATTTCTACACATTGTAGAATTTTTCGAATTACTGTTTCCTCTCCTGATACATTATTTTGTTTCCATCCCTGTGCGACAGTAATCCTTGCTGCCGTTAATATATGAAGTATTAGATATTGTAAAGATTTGTCTATTTTGGGGTTAATTATTCCTAATAAATAGAGTTCTGGTTTAAATTCCATTTTTAATTTGGTAATTTCCTCCAGCCAATTTCTAATTTTATGCCAATTTTTTTTTATCTTGGGGCACATCCACCACATATGGTAGTATATGCCTAATTTGTAACCACATCTCCAACAATTAGGTGATAGATTTGGGAACATTTTGGCCAATCTCGCTGGTGCCAAGTGCCATCTATGGAATATTTTATACAAATTTTCTTTATAGGCTACTGCCATTGTTAATTTATAGTTTCTATCCCACAATTTGTCCCACTTTTCTAATTCTATATTGTGCCCAAGGTTTTTTGCCCAGCAGATCATCTGGTTTTACTGCTTTGTCTTCCATTTTGTATTTTAATAAGAAATTGTAAATTTTTGTGATCATTTTTTCCCCGATTCTAATAAAATTTTATCTATATCCAATTGTTCTCTGTATATGCCATATTGCTCCTGATCCTTTTTGAATCTGGTTTTTAATTGTAAATACGGCCACCATTCCATATTTAATCCTTGTTGTTTCAAATCTTGAATTGATTTTAATTCCCCTTTCTCATCAAGTAGTTCTGTATATCTTATCATTTTGCTCAAGTCCGTGGTGTTTGGGTGTAATATTGCTTCCATAGTTGATAGCCAGATTGGGACTTTTGTATAATGATCCTTCTTAACCTTCTCCCAGACTTGTAAAAGAACATTTCTTAATAAATGTCTTTGGAAATATGCATGATATTTATTTTTCCCATCCCAGAGAAAACTGTGCTAGCCAATCTGGAGATCATGACTTTCTATCATTAGTACTTGTTTGTTTTGTAGTTGAATCCATTCTTGTGGCTGGATCCCTCCCCCACACTGCTCTCGGCCACCTTGGGAGGCTCCGAACTGACAGAACCTCCCTCTGAACTGCAGCCCCCGCTCTACTCCCAAAGCCCCTGAGCCCCTGCACTGATTGGCTGGCTTCAAACTGTCCTCTGCGCCCAAAAGCCCAACGTGAACTGTACTATGACGAATGGGCCGCGGTGAAGGGACTGCAACAGAGGGGCCGTGGCCCAAAGTGCCAAGGCGTAATAATGTGGAGGCAAATCCCTGGTGGAGAAACAGGCAGCGTTGGATGAAGCCCCGTTTTAGGTTTTTGTCAATAAAGTTCCTCAGCTCCTCCAGCTCACGTAGGGTCATGGAATAGATCTTTGGCTTAGGGAGCTTCACCCCTGGGAGGATCTCTATGCCACAGTCAGTGGGCCAGTAGGGTGGGAGCACATCTGATGCCTTCTCGCTGAAAGCCTCCCTGAGGTCCCAATATTCCTTAGGGATTTTCTCCTCCCACACAATATGTTCGCTTGCCACCGCTGCCCACTCCTTCGCAGCTTTGGCTGTGCAAAAAGGTTTGCCCCCTTTTTTCCCCGGAGGGGCAAAAGGAATGCATAACCACCCCATCCTCCAGTTCACCTGGGGGTTCCATTTCTGTAGCCAAGGCAGTCCAAGCAAAAGGGGTCGTTCCATGTCCAGGGCCATGATAAAACTCAAGAACCTCTCAGTGGTTCCCCCATCCACATTTCAATCGATTCTGTCACAAAGTGGGCTGGGGCCCCCTGCTACTGATGCATCCAACTGGCAAAATGCAATGGGCACTTTCATGGTTTTTAGTCTCAGCCCCAGTTTGTCCACCACCTCAGGGCTGATGACACACCTGGTGCATCCAGAGTCTAAGAGGGCTAGCATCTTCCCGTGGGCCCCGTATGAAAGCACCCTTAGTTTGATTGGGATGGTCATGGGGCCCTCACACTGACTTACCAGGGGGTCATCATCGAGTTTCTGTATTGCTGTCATCTGCGGTGGTCGGAGTTCCCAACTCCCCCAGGCCTGGGGAAGCAAACTCAATGACTTCCACCCCTTTCAGGGCTGTCTTGCGACTCTTTGCTGGAGGCTTGTCAGCTTTCTTCCCACCAGTAGGGGTCAGCTTGGAACCAGGTTTGGAGAAACAATCAGCAGCCCGGTGGCCCTCTTTCCCACATTGGAAGCACACTGTGGATTTTGGCTTCATTGCTGACCCCCCTTTGGACTCTCTAGGGCCTTCTTTCTGTGGGGCAGGGGACGGCTTGTTCCAGACATGGCCCCCATGGAAGCGATCCCTGATCAAGTCAATTTCCACGTCGGCTGCCATCACGTACCAGCGTTGCAGGTCTCGAGGTCCCCACGGGAGCAGCACACCTTGTAGACATCCTCATTGAGGCCATCCTTATAACATTCCATCAGGGCTTCCTGGGACCACCCCCTCATGTGGTGTACCAGCTCACAAAACTCCTGGATCAGCCACTGATCTCCGCCCTTGATTTATTGACTTTATCCTGATTCTGGCCTTCCGCTCAGCCAGGGGGTCCTCGAAGCATCCTCTGAGTTTCATCATGAACTGGTCATAATTTCTCAGCAGGGGAGAATTCTCATCATGGAGGCCCACCCACCAGTCAGCAGCTGTCCCCTCCAGGGCCATAGTGACGCATCTCACACGGGTGGCATCTGATGGGAAATCCTCTC